ATCTTAAAAACTTGCTCCTTTGTAAGTAAAATACATTTTGTGCATACTTGTTTAGGTTTATCAGTATATATTTCACATACTAAGCTATGAATACATAAACGCTCTTGATCTATCCTCCATTTAGATCTTGCTGATAATTCATCATTAAGCCTTTTTGATTGATCAGAATTAAGCTTGGAAAGAAAATTTTGTCTTAGTTGTAAACTTGTCTGGAAAAAGTTCTTGTACTATTTGTTTATCAGGTGGTGCTCCACCAAATACTATAAAATCTCCAACTCATTTAATATATATAATATGTTTTTCTTCACATAAGCTGAAACATGGATATCTTATATTTAATGGTTTATCTTGTGAATTAGAAACCAAAAAGAATTCCCTCAAGTCTTAAAATCTCTTATTTTTACTATATTTGTTATTAGATACATGGGATTCAATTTGTGCCTTATTATAGTTTCTTTTTAGTTTAATTATACTTTTACAGTACTTGCATTGAACATGCAATGGATCCAAAATTTTGAGCACATCCAGATGATTAGTTAAATCTGCTTTCTAAAAATACAAAACCAATTAGATAAATATTTATATAGATAATACATATATAATGCTATTCTTACTTTTTCTAAAATAGTTTTTGAATTCATACCACGAATTCAATTTTTTTTGAATTTAGGTTTGTTAGAAACAACTGATTTATTATTTGAATGTTCATTATCGGTTGTTTCATAGTCATCAGAAATTTCATAGCAATCTCCAACATCCGATAGTTCATTATCAAATTGTGAAAATTCAGTTGAAAGTAGTAAATCTAAATCCATCTAACTTGTGCCAAAAATATTAATTTAACAATGTTAAAGCTCTTGATTACAAAAGACATTATTAATCAAAATGAAGCTTCAAAAGCAAACCTTGATGAGACAAAACCTTCAACTTGATAAAATTATTGAACTAACAAAGCTTTTTTTTCTATTTTTTTTTTTTTTTATTTGTTATAGTGAAGTTTTTAATTTTAGCAAGTTTTCTTTTTCTAACTAAATAAAACTTCTGGACTTTTTGTTATATCCAAACTCAATGATACAAAATTTTTAACTACAG